CATTGTCCTCCAAATCCTTGGTATAGGTCATGGATAAACCAACTAAATCACCTTAAAACTGCGTTTACCATGAAGAAAGAGCTTGCTGGGTGGGATGCCTGAAAGCAGGCATCAAATGGGTTGCCTGCTCAGTTATTAACAAAGAATTGACAACATCAAATATGATGCCCCTGCTCCTGTCTCTCTACATCTCGTATGTCAGGTGGTTCGGGGCAGATCTCCCTGGAATGTCTTCGACGTGAGGATGAATGTTCACCCCCACCATTTTGGCCACTGCTATGTGACTGTGAACCTGTTGTTCCTGACTGTTTTAAACTGCCTGGACCTTCTCTACCACTAGAGGCTGCTGGAATAGCAGCTACATCAGAGGAACTGCGCCAGCTACCAAAGATAGCAGCATTCCAGGAGCCTCTTGAAGAGGTTGTTCTAAGCCTTGCGGAGCTTGAACTCTCTTCCCTTACTACCTTCAAAGGGTTTTCTAAAGCTTTGAGGATATATCTCATGGGAGGCCGCTTTGAAGGTTTGGGATTTAGGCATGACCTGGCAACAATGGCCATTGCCCAGACTTCCTCTAACAGATCCTCGTCTACAATAAGAGACGGGTCCACAATTTTTGTCACAAGATCCTTATCATATATAGTGATGTGTGGCAATGTCTGATCCAACCACTCCTTCATTTGGGCATCATTGGATGCACTGATTCCAAGCTTACCAGTTACCAGCTCAAGTAGTACCTTTCCAAAGCAGTAAACATCATAGGCACATGTTGCTGTCGATGAACCTGATCAATTTACAAATAAAAATGAGATCTCAGAAACAACTTTTGAACACTTCAACAACTTAAATTTTTAGAATGTAGTAATTTTGTGCTGTCAAGGATCCTCCTTTCTTCCAAATCCATCTAGCTAGGCTAGGTCTGTTAAAGACTTCTTTGGTAACAAATTTGAACACATTTAACCTAAAAAATGATCTCTCAGGCTCAATCATATCCAAGTTTGTGGGTTGAAAGGAACCAACTACTAATAGTTTTTGATATGTAAGGTCCAAAATGCATGTTGGATCAGCAGCCAATATGGATCGGCAGCCAGGAAATGAAGATTTGGGGAAAAAAAACTACAGAAAAATTTTGCATATAAAGCATTCACATACCTGAAGCACCTTGTTCAGATGACCTGCACATGATAAACCAAAAAAAAAAAAAAAAACCGTTGTGACAACCTTAATCAAGCAAAATAAGTAAAACAATGCATAAAACGAGTCATTACACAACTTGAAACAGTGGTTATGCAGCTCAGTACAGCATAACTACTTGAAAAGAGCAATATGCATGTACATACATACGTAAAAGGGTCAAAATCTGTTTCCCTTTATGTTTCCAGTTTCTCTAATCAACTTGAAGGAGGTGCTCTTAAAATTGGGTCCTTATAATGTGGGATATTGTCACTGGTGTCTTTGCAAATGTACGGGCTATTTCAATGGTGCATACAACATGTTCTCCCAGTTATTTCTACTATTTTCCAGATTACAGCCAAAGCATCAATTTAGGTACCAAAATGACTGAGTTATTTTTCCCATCTAAGAAGAAAAGATAAATGCAATTGTTAGCTTGATACTGATGGAAATAGATTTCATAAACAAGGCCACAACTAAAGGCTTTCAACTTGCTATCTCCAAAAGCTACAAGTGCTAAAGGGAGCTGATCTACTCTGAGTTAATAAAGTCACACTGCAGAGAAGTAGTGATTATTCAAAGCTAATTACAGGACAAACCCATGAAAAGAACTCAAATATCATTTGAACTAAAAGCAACTGGCAAAATCTTCTGTTGTATGATTTTACTAGTGCCTACATATAATAAGAACATCAAAACACATCACACAGGTACAAATGGAGACTTTCAGGTGTTAGGAAATCAATACAGCAAATGAGTTAACAAGTAATCAAAGAAGTCCATAGAAAAAGAGGAGTTTTTTTTCTTTTTTTTTGGGTCAAAGAAAATAGCAGATTCAACAAATATCTCATTTATGGTTACAATCAGAGAAGAAATGACTTGAGAAAAATTTAAAAGAATACTTACTGTGGCAACCGTAGCAATCTGCTTATTCTACTCTGATGACCATCACCTTCTTGTGCACAAACCTCACCCAGGCTCCCCAGTCGTACTTCAAATTTGTCATCAAGAAGTATGCTGCTTGCTTGAACATCTCTTCAATTACAAAAAAGAAAACATCACTACTTGTACTTGCAGAATAAAATTTTTATAAATGAATAGTAAGTCACTCAGTGCACAGTCTAAATAAATAAAGTTTCCAAACCACAAAATTGGCTTTATAGATTGCAAGATTTGATACAAGGGCTGATTTGCAACACATCAAAAAGCAAGGAATCCCAAGAAAATTTTGAATATCTAAGGACCAAAGAAAGGAAAACAACTGATAGAAGGGAAAGAAAAAAAGCATAAGAAGAAAGTCTCAATGTACCTGTGGACAAAGGGAGGTGTACATTCATGATGAAGATACGATAGACCCTCTGCAGCTCCTGTGGCAATTTTCAATCTTGTTATCCAATCCAGTGATTGTAAATTATCATCTTCTGAATCACCTTTCCTGTATAAGGAACTTGACAAATCTCCATTTGGCATATATTTATAAACCAGGAATTTTTCATTTTCTTTCTCTAAGCAGTGTCCCAAGAAGGGAACCAACCGTGGATGTGAGGTCTTACTAAAAAAATCCAATTCTACCAAGTAAGAATCCCTTTTAATTGACTGCAAATCAATCCTTTTGATGACAACAGGAATCCCACCTTCCAAGAGACCCCTGAAGAGATCACCAGAGTGACCATGCTTGATGAAGTTTTCATCACTGAAGTCCAATGTGGCTTGAAGAAGCTGCTGATATGTATATGCATCCCCTACATTTGAAAAGTTAGTAATAGATGGTCCAGGTAGTGGAGACTTGTCCCGAGCAGGAACCGGTTGCACATCAACTGCCCTTTGATTTGTAGTGTCCTTCTTACATGCATATAAAATTAGCAGCAGCAATGCAACCACTAATGCAATAAATGCAACTCCACCCAGAACTGCAGCCAATATGATTATTTTCCGCTTGTTCTTTCGAGAACTATTTTCTGCAGGTGGTGTGGAATTTGGTTGTCCAAAATTATCAAAAGTCAGGCCTTTCTCAGCATAGAATGATGAACAGTCTGTCGAAGTCCTCTGATTCAACACATATTGCAGGCAGTTGGAACTAAGGGATGCATTATTAGGCACATACTCTGGAACTTTTCCTTCAAAATAATTTCCTGATAAATCAATAGAACCATACCTGCTTAGCAGAAGTGTGAGATTTCCATAAAACATGTTCCCAGAAATATTTAGTACGGCAGCTGAGGCATTACTGTTCAAGCTAGAATTTGGCAGAAAACCAGTGAAATTGTTGCCAGAGACATCAAGCAAGTTCAATCCCGGCAATGACCATAACACATCTGGAAGGGCACCGGTGAAGTCATTCCGTCTCAGAACTACAACCTGCAATTGACTTGTACCAGAGAACAACTTGGCTGACAAAGATCCAACAAGAAAGTTATGCCCAAACACCATCCTCTGCAAATTTCTTAGCCCTCTCAAATCCTCAGGCACTGACCCAGACAAATTATTGAAGCTGAGATCCAGGTCAACCAAGCTCGTGAGATCTCCCAATTGAGCAGGTATTGAAGACGTTAAACTATTGTTGGAAAGATTTAAGCTTTGTAGCTTCGAAAGGGAACCAATGCCTGGAGGAATTGACCCAGTTAAGTTATTTGATGAACTGTCGAGACTTGTTAAATTGCCCAGTGTAGCAAATGAAGAAGGTATAGCTCCACTAAGTGAATTCTTTGAAAGATCAAGAACCGAAAGGTTTAACAGTTGACCCAGAGAAGGAGGAATGTCTGCAGAAATTCTATTGTTGGATAAATATAGTCCTGTTAAACTAGTCAAATTGCCGATACTGGAAGGAATAGAACCATTTACAGAACAAGACCTGAGATCCAGCACTTGCAGAGTCAACAAACTCTGGCCAAACCAATCCGGGATCGAACCAGGAAGTAAGAACCCAGAAGCATTAAAAGAGACCAAATGTGTCAAATTTGCAAGAGAGTTAACAGCAAATTGTGGGTTTTGTCGACCGAGCCTTGTTCTTCTAAACCCAAAAATGTTAATCCCAGTAACGCTACCATTTGCACAAGTTATGCCAGTCCAATTTGAGCAAGGGTCAGCCTTTATAGGCCAATCCTTGCTTCTAAGCCCCAAAGAGGATCTGAGTCCCAGTAGAGCAACTTTCTCAGCAGGCAAAGTCAGTGGCTGCTTCACTTGCTGCTCAAATGTAGACTCAAACAACAGCAATAACAAGAGAAACACAAAAGCTACCAGTATCCTACGCCGATCCACCATGGTCATGGACACTGCCCCAACGATCTAATTACCATATTTCTTCCTCTCAACACAGGTATCTGCTATACAAGTAAGTGCATCACAGTGAATCTGTAATGAATTTTGGCAAAATTAGAGATACCCACTTTA